TTCGTTATTAGCATGTTTACTGTACAGTCATTAACTGGGAATAAGGACAACTATTACAGTGGATCTATTGGTCCAGTGTGCAAACTGTTGCCCAGGCATCAACAGTGGGGGCACCTATCCAACAAATCAACTGTTGTGTGATGCCCTAGTCAACAACTGTTTTGTTATACCCAATAATACAAGAGGCCCATAGACCACTCATCTGAGGACATTGGCTAGAAAGAGCACAAATCAGGTCGGCATTGAAAAGTTACTAAGGCTGGGGGACGAGGAGGCTTGAATTTCACTCTTCATGAGGATGCCTCCATTATCAATATGGTATATAATCCTGTTACTTTCTTGAAAAGATTTCATGAATGTTATTATTACTAGACCATGATTCTAATATCTATAGTTTGAGTACGACCCTAATTTTTTTCATGGAGATTCAGCTTATGAGCTTCATGAAATATGCAGGCGTGAAGTGTTATAGTTCATGTCCTCATGAATTCTCTAAATTGAATTCGTTTCTTACATTTCATGCCTGAAAACTATGCAGCCTCACTAAACACACATCTTTGTATGTGAAGAATATTTTCCTCATTTAAATAGCTTGGGTATTTCCATTGTTGTCGGAAAATCTGAGAAGTTTGCAATCTCAATCTTGATGTATGGTCAGTGTGTTAAAATTGAGAATATTTCTATTTGCCATCAATATCATTGAAAAAAGAAAGGAAGGGCACCGCAAGGCAGCGCATCCACTTGCAAAAAGAGCATTTCTACAAATCAAAGCACAATTGTCATTGTTCCTAGTGCAAACTACATCATTTCTCTTAAGCACATTGACAAATCAACCCACCAACATACAAAAATGCAGTCTTATTTAACAAGTTTACTGAAAACTTTAGTAATATGCAAAACATTAATTATAATATAGAATTGTGGAATAATTATAATCATTGGAAAAAAATGAAACTCTGCTCACCCTAATATATCGGGTCACCATCAGACATATTATTAAACTAACGTTTGGCCTAACATATACATTTAGCAAACTGATAGAGAAGTAAGCTAATAAACATGTAAAAGAGTAGCAGTAATGTCTTGAATAAATTTCAACCTGCCTTAATTTGTTAATAATGTTTGTTAATGAAAAACATTGCTGAACCAATGGTGATGCCAACCACAATTGTAATACATTAAAAAAAAACCAGAGACATTAATAATTAATCACACAAGGTTGTAACGTGATCATCACAGAAAATCTTGATGATAAGTCTTAGTTCCAACTTACGGTAGCCTCACCTTGTCGTATTTTCGTAAATACATTTAATTCTGCATGCAATTACATTATTATGATAAACATGGGAGTGCAATCATCCGAATCGGTGCATACACAGTATGATCTTACCCAAGTATCTCATCTGCTGCAGGGCCCCTTCTCCATCGTGTCTGCTGTCTCCAAATCATGATCACGGATGTTCAGCAAAATCTGCGTCAGTGTGCAACGCTCGAATGACCAGGAAAATAAACAGCAAACTATGGAGGACAGTGCGCGTTATAAAATTTCATCAGCGAAACAATAAACAAGAACGACGAAAATGATAATAGAAACGGTTTTTAAAAATACTTCATATGTTCTCATAATATTTTATCAAGGAAGGATTCTTCTAACACAAAACCGTATTTCTTGTATTTAAAAATTAATGAAATTTTCACACAATCAAGAAGACAATAATACTAAGTGATGGTTTCAGTAAGGTTAGTTTTGACCGTTTTATATTAGAGTCAAGGTCAGGTCAAGGTCATTACCTTTTCCCTGGACATTAAGAATAAAAATGACCGATCCAATCATGCGACGCGGTCTTCTATTTCAAAAGATTATTTTTTTTCTTTTTGAATAAAAAGATATTACCGTATAGGGTACACAAAATGGAATTTGGCTAATCCGAATTTTCTCTATTTTCTTAAATTTTTAGGATATTTAAGTTATTTTTATATGCGCCCTATATTTAATTTTTTCGTATTTTCACATGTGGTAAAGAGGTCATATAGAGATACAAAATGATAAAAGAAACAAAAAGTTTTTACCGTTTAACTTAGAGAGTAAAAACACTTTCTACGGATTTTTGGCTCATATCTATACTTAGATAGGAAGCTTTTTAAAGCTAAAACAATTGTTGTTTGTTTGGAAAAAAAGATTTATTTGATATATTTTAAAACTGTAGTCCCTTGTCATTAATTTAGCTAACATTTGAAATTTAAAAAGTTCAAGTCTTTGATTGTGTAAAAATGATAACTAAATTCGTTGTTCTATAATAATTTTGAGAGGCAGAAAAGAAGATATTTTCATACGCCACCATTCCGCCAAAAATATAGTTTTCGAACATCATTTACCACACATTTAAAGTTGTACAATTGTGATTTAAAGAAAAATATGGTCTTTTAAATCTCTTTAACCTAAATATATAAGACATATAAGCAAATATAAATTGAATATTTCATCTAGTCAGAAACCAGAGAAGAATCCTACCTAAATAATAAGGGATAAAATGCGACGGATAAGCCGGTTTACATGTATTGAGTCAAATGCTGACTAACATTTTTTCATACGATATAGACTATAATTCTTAGTCCATTATTTTATTTTATACACTGAACTGACGACGGATTTTTCCGTTATTTCTCGTTCATGACAAGGAGCACACGGCGGGTATGACCAGTCGGCAGGGGATGCTCACTCTTCAATGGCACCTGATCCCACCTGTGATGTTTTGGAGGTCCGTGTTTTTGCTTTGCTCCTATTTTGTATAGTTTTATGGACTCTTCGATCTTGAAAACTGTTCGTTATCTCCATATGTTTCATTACAAAAGATAATATTCTCTATAGTTTTCCATTCAGGCTGTTTTTATTTCCGCCCGCTGTAATATGACTTCAAAAAAAACTTTTGACCTTAAAAAATTTAGATTACCCCCAAAAATCCAGAGGGATCAGGTGCCTAAGAGAATAAGCATCCCCTGTTGATCGGACATACCCGCCATGAGCCCTATGTATTGAACAGTTAAAGGGAACATTCCGTTGTCCGTTAATTGTCATCATTATGACCATAGAATTTACGAAATACAGTTTAAATGCCGGAGATTGTTGAAATCTCCGACATCCACTTATCTATCAGTAGGCTGTCTTAGTTTTAAAACTGATCGGTCGTATGAGTGTAAGTTGTAACAAAGACAATTTTGTGCCTCTGCTGAGGATTGAACCTCTGGCTTGCCGGTCCAGTGCTTTACCAATTGAGCTAAAGGATTAACCCACTAGCCCAAGCTAGTAGGATGCCGTGTATTTTATACTACTACATTGTCCCCCTCCAGAGAATGAGATGTCCTCATCTCTTTTGGAGTGCCGACACCTGTGGGGCGACATCTTCGCTAGCCAAGGGTTTCTGATACGCTCTTCTCCTCATAAACCCTTGGCATACGGTGAAAGTCAAAAGACGGGATTGTTTTCGGTCACGTGATCTCGAATCTATCAGGTACGCACAGATTGCGTCATCGCCAGAAATAAAGACACGTGTTAAAAAAATTAAATCGAAGTTTTTTTGAAGAATAATTAAGAAGCAACAATTGAGTTATGTTTATTTATTATGTATAGAACAAATCTAAAACTTCAATATAGATTCTTTATCACATATTTAGAAGATATTGGATGACTCCATGGCTATTCATAGAATTGAATGTTATCTTACGGATCGTTGTCATTTCCGAGATTAAAGAGTGAAGATGTATCCCGAATGCAAATATCGTCATTTACAAAAAACAATTGCTGATTGGTCGACCTGGGTGTACTGAAATCCAATCAGAACTCTGGAGAAAAATCCCGATTTCTATGAACACCGTAGGCCAAGGGTTTATGAGGAGAGTAGCGTATCAGAAACCCTTGGCTAGCGAAGATGGTGGGGCGAAGTTTTAGGGGCAATTACTCTCACCCGCCAGAGAACACCCGGTTCCCAACGTGGGCGCCAAATGTAACAGAGTCAACTTTGTGCCTCTGCTGGGGATTGAACCCGGGGTTCTTGCCAGTCAAGTGCTCTACCAATTGAGCTAAAGAGTTAATTCACCAGCCCAAGCTAGTAGGATGGCGTGTATGATATCTTATACTACTATACGAGTATAATGCGCAACATGCTCTTTCAAAGTATCGAAAAGTTGGTGATGTAAATACCATATATGCAGGTGATAACGGGATATAATTATTTTTTTAAAAAGAAAGTTTACAATGGAAAAGTTAATTATCTTCTTTGTCATACAATTTAATTGATGTTGGTAATATTGTGAATAGCCCTTAAAATGCCCTAATCAATATGAAACCGACGCGGTAGTCTCTGTGATGTCTATAATTTCGAGTTGAATGACGAGGAGGGGGCTGGTTTTAATCAGACTGCGAACCAACATATGTGTTGGTTTATGAATGAAAACATCTACTAGTATTTTATACATCATCGATATATTTCAATTCCGAGTTGTGTGAATTAAGTTTTTGTAATGATCAATTAATCTTGTTAATTTTCATCTTCGCTAGCGAATTAAGATGGTTAATTTTTTTTTACGTTTTAAATTTTATATATTCAGTTCTAGAACCTATCCAAAATTATATTGTATTGTAAAATTATATTGTATTGTAAAGTCATGTCATTTGGAAGAGAGGCCTTTGGTCTCGGTATCCAACACATGCATGTTCAACGTGGGTCATTTTTTCAACCCGGGTCAACGTTACAGATGCTATGACATTTTTATTCTGAAAAAAATAGGCCTAGTTTCTCTTTAATATGGTAGAAATTATTATATCTAATAAATGTTAATTTCTTAGTTGACTTGTAACTGTTTAAAGGTTTTGGCAGGGACTTATATATGCTAGTTCACGTAAATCATTAGGCCCCTGCCTAGATGTAACCCAATGCCCTCCATACTTTCTGTTTCAAATTTGACGTAATATTTTCTGACCAATCATATTGCGCGGAGCGACTTTTGAAGCGAATATGGCCGACATGGACGGGAGCTGAAAATGGAAATATCGATGAAGCTCATTAGTCAAATAGATAGCTTTGAAAATGTTCAAGCTCTTGTCAAACAAGATTTAAGAGAACTTGGAATAAAGGTACCGAAAGGCAAAAAGTTAAAACGACAGGGTTGTTTGAAGAATCAGGTATGTCGTATAACACTTTGTTTTCCTATTGTGTGATATTTTGTTGTTTTAAAAAGGCTATTTTAACAATGATGTAAACTTTACTGTTGTATAGAACTCAATATTGCATTTCAAATAAACGAAGCATTTCTCACAAAGAGTTTGATTCTATTAAAAAGTTAAAATTCTATAGTTAGAGCACGATCACGACCCTGAAGATCTCCACTGAGATTGGGCTCAGCTGGATATTGAATATACCCTCAGCTGTACAGTCCAAATATCCAACAGAGCCAAATCTCAATTCTTAATTCGGGCTGGATATATAGGCATAAGATTTTATCCTCCAATATTTCTAAGTGCTCTGTGATATGTATTGTAATGTTTTGAATTTCAACAACTATTAAAGTGGTATTTTTCTTATTTTATTAATGTCCATTTACATTCAGAATACTTAACATTGCTAAATGACCAAGAGGAAAATGTCTTGTTGATCAATAGAATTATATTCACCGAAATACACAATGCAATAACATTCGCTAATAACTGTTTTGCATGACCACAAGGCAGCTTATACTTAATATATTATAGAAAACTTATTCCAAGCATTTTAACGGTTAGTTAGAATAATCTAACTGTGTCTCGGTACAAGCCCTCACCACAGTTAGAATACGTCCCATATACTTGTAATGTAGCAAATCGGAGCGGATCCGCTCCGAAATGATTTTGAAGAATATAAAATGATTTGCACTGGAAATAACTACCAAATTTATCAAACCAAACCTTTTTGAGATTGCTTATGCCTTTTATCCCAAAAAATATATATAAATACGAAAATCTAATATAATTTTCTCAACGTTTTTCTCTCGATTCAAATCCTGCCATGTTTACATTCGGAACTCTCTAGATTCTTCCTAGTAAATGCACTATGCGAGTTATCGCCCGTGTTTCTTTTGCTACATTACGAATACACGGAACGAATTCTATCGTTAAACCGGGTCCGTAGGACAATATCATTTTAACGATAGAACATTCTATCTATTTAATGGTATACGGGTACTAGTACTACTACACAGTTTACTAAAATGCTTAAAACTTTTTAGGGAGATGGCCATGGGGATATATTTGGGAATTTCCTGTCTTTAGTGCCATGTGTTTACATAGCAGACTGTGGATATGTTCCAAAGTAAGTGTTCCTCACTATACATTTAGTAAATATAGCCTTAGAGAGGTGTGGACAAAGTTATGTTTTCGTTTTGTTAACAATTCTAAACTTCCCTTATTTTAATTATGTCTAATGAGCAATCAAACTTGCATGAAAATTCTTAAAATTCAATGACAAAAACATTCTTTACATTACCTCATTCATCTGTGTTTGTAAACATGAGCATGAGCTCTATTATTGTTAATGGACTAAAAACACTTGCAAGTTAGACTTGTTTTCTCACATTTCTGCTTTAAATTTTCTAGATTATGGATAGGAGTGAAACGGTTCACCTCGGTATCGATTCACTGTGGTATTTTTTCTCGGTTCGATACATGGTACAAAATCTCTATTTTCGATTCGGTTTGTTTTTCGATCAGGATCGTCATTCAGTCGGGTTTAGCATAAGGTATAAACATGTTCCCCTGTATTATTAGTTCAAAAACGTAAATTTTTGTGGACCTTTAGTTTGTAAAATAGTTTTTTACTGTCAAATCAATTAAATTGATTTCTTCTATCCATTTTGCACATAAATTAGATTAAGTAAAATAAAGCATGAAACAATGGTTGTATTTGTTTCCTTCTATCAAAATGTATCGTATCGAAAATAACTGAACCGAGACTAAATTTTACGATACGTATCGAACCATGAAGGAGGTGTATCGTTTCACCCCTAATTATGCATTTAGTATTGTTTATGAATACAAAACAATTTTTCCACTTTAAATTTTAATTGTGAATTTATGCAATGTCTTTTATAATCCATTGATTCACAAGTAATTTAAAAGATACCAAAATTATATTGAGTATTTTAGTAAGCAAAAAATTGAGTAATGGATTCCCAGAAATTTTGAAGCTAATTTGAGTGGAATATTTTTGGTGTTTGTAGATTGCTTGTGGATGCAGCATCCCTGATTCATGAAAACATTGAACAAGAAGGACTGTTCCGAAAGTCGGGGGCTGTCAGTCGGCAGAAACAGCTCAAGGTAACTCAGTTTTAAAAAAAGAAGGTTGGCATCATTTATATTTTTAAGCTCATCTGAGTCAAATATTCAAGTGAGCTTTCCTGATCAAAAGGTGTCTGTTATCCATTTGTCTTGGCTCAGGCTTGGGTGTATGTAAACTTTTTACACCTTTCCCTTCTTCTCAAGAACCACTGGACCAATTTCAATTAGACTTGTCACAAAGCATCCTTAGGGGAAGGGTTTATAAATTTATTCAAATAAAGGGCCATGTCCTCCCTTCAAGGGGCGTTAATTTACTTATAAGTAAACATTCATGAAATATTTTTTAAAAAATCTTTTTACTTCTCTTATGCCATCAACAAATATATTTAATTTTCTGGAAAAAAGATTTTCCAACCTACCTACCAACCCAATAATTTTTACCCTGAGTTGGGTGAGAGCTGGTCTAGTCATATTTTTTATGAAAGCATCATCAGGTAGTGTAGATTCAAGTCTCTTAAAATCCATGACTCACACATTAACAATAAATCATTTATTTGGAAGAATCCCCAGATAATCAGGATAATGTTTATTCAAGTGTGTTGAAATCATGACCTCCAGTGTACCGTAGATTGGGGGCACTTTGAACAGTCAATGTTTTTATATAGTTGTATAATCAATCATTTTTTTTTTGTTTTTGTTTCCAGCAACAAATTGAGAATGGAAAGGGAGTACATGGTGCTAATGTTTATGATGTGACAGGTTTGATCAAACAGTTCTTCCGGAAGCTGCCTGATCCTTTATTGACCAGTGTGTACCATGACTCCTTCATCAAATGTTACCACATTGACCCCTCCGATGTCTCCACCCAGGCGGTTCTGTCTCTCTGTCTACTGTTACCGGGGGAACACCTCAGCACGCTCCGCTACTTCATGCTTCTGCTGTCAGATGTGGCAAATTGTGCAGAGCAAAACAAAATGGATGCCACCAATCTGGCAGTAGTATTGGCACCCAACATCATGCATCTAAACAACAAGACAGAAAAAATGAATTCTTCAGAGGAGAAGTTACTGCAAGTTCAGACAGCCATTGTGGAGGTTTTAATCAGAAGTGCTTCTATGATAGGCATGGTATCACCTGAGGTGTATGAGAAGGCTTCTCTCATCACTGAGATTTTTGGAACTGATGATGAGCTGGATGCAAGCTGTGATACACTGGAGGAGTCCAGGGATCTTAAAAAGAAAGAGAAACGGCGGAAAAGATCAGGGTCATTTCAAGGTAATGATGTCAAATGTATTAAAGGCTCAAAACATGCCTGGACCTTCGTTCGTAAGCTGAAATATAGATAGAGTTTTAATTTTGCATGGGAATAAACACCATAAATATACATGTACTACTAATATTCTGGGTTCTTGAAAGAGGAGTTTCCCATTTTTTTATGACAAAATTTGTCAAAGTAACACACATATGAATTCTTGTGTATTTGAAATAAACATTAGTAATTTGAATATTCGAGTCATATACATGCAGTAAAATAAAAATACATATATTATATATCTTGTTGCTTTTAGGTGTAATTAGCACTATAGCTAAAAGTGTGACCAAATGGAGGAGGAGTACTGATGGCAAGTCAAATACAAGTCAGTCAAGCAACATGAGCACCATGAGTCAGTACAGCAACAAAAGTCACATCAGCAACAAGGCCAATTCCAGCAACTTACAGACCATACACACAGATATTGCTACAGCAACCCCAGTGGTTATCAGGAAAAGGAAAGCATCAGGAGAAATGCCTTTCTCAGCTTCAAAAAAGTTTGTACATAAAATATATTGGGCCAGAATTTTCTTCATCATAAAAAAATGGAACAATTAAGCTTTATCTATAAAATTTGTTAATTCCTTTTACAGGAAAGCAATTTTGAAAAATCTTCCAAACCAAGCAACTCTTGCAAATACCCCCTACACTCCAGCATCTACTGTCAAGAAATTGGATATCAATGGTAAGTCTGTGGAGGAAGGATTGCTTATAGTATTCATGTATTTATTGTCAATAATGATACAACCCAGAATGGATACAAGAGAATTACTGTAGTTTAAGTACAAGAATAGTTATATCTAACTCATCAGACAGGTAAAGATAGTTTTCAGAGAATAGCCAATATCTTTTCTCCTTTATACTATCCCCTGTTAATTTCTAAGTTATCCCATACTATAAATTCTTGCAAATTAAAGTGTATTTTTTCCTCAACATTTTGATTTTTTTCTTACAGAAATGAAGAGAGCTGGTACTCTGAACACACCCAGTATTGCCTTCAGTAACAAAAACAAGCTGGCCTTCAGTGCTACACCTTGTCAAAGCAACAACAAAACTGCAAGAAAGAAGCTTGGCTTATTTAGTCCTGCGAGTGCTAGGAAAGGAAGGAAGTAAGTGAAAGTACATGACAACATTCAAAATATTAGTTTAATAATACAAAACAATGATTTTAAAAAAGTTAGTCTAAAAAACATTCAAAAGGATACTTCTGTTAAACATGAAACAGTTTATACAAGATTTGAATTTTTTCAGCTTTATATGATAATGCTTGATATTCTATAGAGAAGTTCATCTCATGGACATAAGGCCATAAAAAAATCAATTTCTTGGTTTTCAGGCCCTCCCTCATCTTTTCCAAGGGTGCCTCATTGACCCTTTTTATTGCTAAATCAGTGAAATAAAAAGAACAAGTCACCTGTCTCATCATGTTTTGGGGGCAATAAAAAAGTTAAAAAAAAACTAGAGCCGAGCTCGTTGCAAAGCAACGAGTAGGTCTTCCGTCCTGTTTGACCGTAAGTAACTTTCATTTGAAAAAAAAAGAGTAATGAAGTCGAAAAATGGTTTAATCCTTCAAATCTTTGTTCATTTTTGCAAAATCAAGCCATTTTTGGCAACTTCCGGTTTGACCGGAAGTACCGTCAATGGACGCAAAATTAAGATTTAAGCTTCCAGTGACATATGATATCCAAAAACCTGTCAAGAACAACAAAAATATGCAATTTTTGACTACTTCCGATTTGACCGGAAGTGACGTCCCCGGACGTATTTTGATAACCTCATTAGATAAAGCTTGACATTTTGATCAACTTTGCTTATTTGACGTATTATAAATTCTCAATACTTTTTGAGATATTAAACAAAAACTTTCAAGGGCCCTAGTTCCCTAATTTTAGGGGCCAGCCCCTTTTTAATGATATCAAATGAAAGCGCTTGTAATTATGCAAAACTTTGATTCAACATGTCTTAACAAAATATTTTTAGTTTTCAAGATAAAAAGGAAAATATTTGTAAATTTTCGCTCTTTTAGGCGTTCTAATTTTTGACCCCTATATAGCGCCATTTTGAATGCAGAAAGCGAAAAACAAAAACCAATGTGCACAACTTCAATCCTTCTGTTATCTAAAACAAGTAAAATTTCTGCTCCAGCTTTTGTGGTCTCTGAGCCTTTATCCGGAAACGAAAGCCTATGATTTTTCGTTTAAAGGGGAATAACTCAAAACCGGAAGTGACTTTTTGAAATTTTAGTCATCATTCTGATAGAGTTTATAAACGTTTATAATCTCTGAAAATTTGAGCGAAATCCGTTGAGAAATGAGTGAGATATGAGGCCTCAAAGTTGGCGTCTAGGAAGTAGAAGAAAAAAAAAAGAATAATAATCTTTACCAACAGAATCAGTAGAAGGTCTTCCGTTGGAAACGGAAGACCTTAAAAAAAAGCCTCCTTCCCTCATCATTTATCTTGAAAAAAGGCCTGAGAACCAAGGAATTCACTTTGCATGGCCTTAATGATCTTGCATCATGCATTGACTACAGATTGTGGTTGCTCTCTGCTTTGAGTCTACTATTCATCAAACATCACAAAATAAACACTCCAACATATATCAATATGATCATTTTTTCTTAACAGGTTATCCAGCTCCAGCATATCTATCCCTAATGCATCCAAGAAGAATAAAAGTAAAGGAATTTTCAGGCGATTTAGTGGAGGAAAGGGGGATAACCAGGTAAATAAAGAACAAAAAATATGGCTATGTCTCATTATAATGCTACCCTTGTTATTTTGAAATGTGTCCATAATTATCACGAATTTGGAGATAAATCAAGTACTGGGGTATATTAGAGGATAAAAAGGAACAACAAAACAGAACTTGCATCATTTATAGGCCAACAGATTTGTATTTACACAAGAATTTGCATTATAGCTACAAAAAAAAAAAGAAAGAAACATATAACGAGTAAAAACGGCATAAACTATATTAAAATGTCTGCAGAATAGATGATGATCTCATTTTGATATGTGGATTTTCTATTCATGTAACTGTATATAGTCGGATCATATCTTAAGCTAACAGAGACCTATTCAGACCTCAAATTATCAATCCGGTATCAATTATGATAGAATTAAAACAGTAATAGATGCAAAGTTGTGCACCAGTTCTTCATTGTATCATTGTAATATTATTGTGTTATCATAAAAATCCTGAGATTTTAATTTTTTGATTTGCCGAAGACTTGTAAGAAAATGATGTTTATGGTATATAAAACTCTGAAAATTACATGTAAGTCTGTCTTCTTCTTTCATCTTCTTCATATGTATTGATTGAATTTTTTTTTTTTTTTTCAGCCCATGGCAATCTCATCAGATTCCCAAATGTCTGATAGCATTGGTCAGCGCCTGGCAGGACAGGACGATGATGATTCTAATAGCCCCGGTCCAGACAATGTCAACACGTCCAGTACAGCACTAGATGTCTCCAATGGTTCACTCAATGTAGATCAGTCCAACTTCACGTTTGGTCCAGATCAGTCGATTATTTCTGTCTGTGATGACAGGAACTCACTGAACGAAGGTTTTATCTGCTCAGAAGATGTTGACATGTCACAGGCAGACACCACAACTCTATCCTCGGTGTGCTCAGATGGAGCAATCAATCGGAACAGATCGTCAACCTGTGGAGAACCTGTTAGAACTTGTTTATCAGATTCCTCTGTTAACTGTTCAAGGTTAGGGTCAGACTCTAGTGTGGACAGATCAGATGTGTTTGATAAAAGTCTAAATGTAAGTAAAAGAACTAAAATTCTGAGAAGAGGTCGGCCTAACTCACTGAAAGCTGGACTTTTAAGTGGAGAGCCAAGGAAGGTCCAAAATCTGCGGCGAAGTTTTGGGTTAGATAAGTCTGAAATAAGTGACCCAATTCCTTTGTATGTCCCAGATGTTGCTGACATGGAAAGCACAAGCCTTAATAAATCAAATGAACATGAGAGACAGCATGAAGTAAGTTCCGTCAAAGAAACTTTGAAAGATATCCAAGCTCTGGAATCAAACCTTAATTCCCAGTCTTTCAGGAAAAGTTTGAGTATCAATGATCTGTCCTTGAAAACTGAAAATGACACCCAGTCCTTACTAGTTGGTAAAACACAAGATGGTGAAAAGGTTACTGAAAATCCAAAGTTTCAAACTTGTGACAGTACAGATAGTCTACTGAGTGGACAGCAGTCAGTCAGTGCTTCACCAGAAACGAAGAAAAAGGCAATGCAGAGATCCATATCTACTGACAGTGGGAAGGGCTCAATGTTTGATGAGTCTGGAGTCATGGATGCAAGCTCAAGTCAAGATGCTGACCAGTTTTTGGATGGTAATTTGGGTATGGATGTCATTGAAAACATCCTGAGTGCTGGGGCTCCTTCTAGTGTAACTGAGAACAAAGATGAAAAAGAAATCCGAAAATCCTTATCTTCTACAAATCTAGTCAAGGGAGACAAACCAAGATTAAGCATAAGCAGATCACAGAGTGTGTATAATGCAGCATCAAAACGACAGCCAAATATTACACCCAATCTACAAATCTCCACCGAAACACATAATCTGTTATCTAGAGCAGGATACATATCCAAGAAAGGAATGAAAAAGACATCAGATGATGACTTTCAAGTAATGGGACCACCACCACCAAGAATTAAACAAGCTGAATTCCACAAGCCTAAAAGGGAGAGCATCTTGGAATTGAAAGTAAAACATGCTGGCAGAGTGGCAGCAAGTATAAAACAGTTTGAAACTGGGGACATCACTCCTGCAATAGCGAATAAAGCAGTAGAGAATATAGCAAGTGCAGACCTAGTTGAGAGGCACAATTCACCATTAAGATTTCCTAACTGTGTCTCCAGGAAAGCAGGGGCTTCACCACTTAAATTACCATCAATGCTGACCAGGAAAGAATCTCTGGCCAACAAGAAAAGTGACTGTCATCCTAATAAACTCCTCAGTAAGGGACAGGCTAGACTTCCCATCTCTACCCAGCTACTCAAACCCACAGAGCAAGCCACTGTCACGAATGTTGATACCCCAAATACGGGGTCGAATTTTAGAAAACCAGTCAGACGACCCAGTATTTACTATGCAAAGGATGGTGATACTCCTAAAGTAGACAAGTTCAAGGATACCAGGATAGATGACAGTGTGTTTGAAGCTGCTGTTGCTACACCCTTACCAGAAGAACCAATGGAAACAAGTGAAGACAGCATTAAAGAGAATCCACAAAATAAAGAGAATGTTTCCACAATAGAGTCCATTAAAGAAGAGGAATCAGAAGACTCCATATCTGATACCCTTACTGGAACTCCGCTGAAATCAGAGACTATTGATAATGTAAAAACTGCAAAGCTTCCTAAAATTTTACAGCCCCTTGGGGACAGTGTGATTCTCAGGAGCCCGGCAGGTCTGACCCCCAAACAAATGCTGCAAAGATCCCAGACGACCTGTTCCCCACGGTCACCCATTAAAGCAGTCAAACGACTCGGATCATCACCAGGGTCACCAGCTCTGAGCAGACGACACTCCATGTCACCTCGTCGTACACAACACAAGATTTCCCTCCCGGCCTCAGTTCCAGAATATCTCCATGATGAGATGAATGGAATGTAAATTATTGAAATTCATTGTTCTTTCTCATAATTTGTAGTATATATGCATACAACTGTAGTGTCATCATGGACTTGACATGCTTTAGGAATCAAAAGGGACAAAGTATACTACAAAGTATTAATAAATACAGTTTGTAAATATTCATGAATTCTGAGTGACTTATGATGACAGGGTATGTTTTAAATGTTGCATGCAGAATCCTCAAGGATTTCTAAGTATCAGTGGAATATGTGTTAATTGATCACATGCTTTTTGTGCTATTTTATACATAGGTTGTAATCCTATTTTATTAATATTGATAACTTAGTTTTATAAGGAACTTTGTAAATAGATGATAGCAATCATGCTCTTTCCTTTTAGATACATTATATGTATAACAGTACCTTGCCAGTTGAACATTATTTATTTCCTTTTACCATGTTGACTCGTCTTTATACAGTTTATTACAGTGAGTTTTCCTTCGTGTATAATTGATCAGATTTAATAACTTAACTATTTTTATTGCTTTTAATTAATATGAAATTTTACACCTCTGGTTATAAGGTAAGATTTTATCCTTGACAGACTATTTTTTGCAAATATGAAATGAGGACAATTTTCATATTCAGTTAATGTTTATTTAATACCAGGTTTGTTTTTTTTTACCAAGAACAGGAGCAAATATTTCCACTTAAAACATGAATGGACTAAGTTCTTGGGCTGTAACTTCTAGGCCTCTGTATTTTTTTTTTATATCTGGTAAAGAGAATCAGATTAAAGGCATACCGATTCTTCTATTGGTTTTAATTTTTTTCCCTTTCTGATTGTGAAATGTTTAAAGCTTTTTATGTTTGAGAATAAAATGATTTTTTATTTACCCATATGTTAAGGTTAGGTCTTATCGGTCAGTATTGTAATTCCTCGTATTCTTGTCATGTCTCAATTTTAATTTGCAGCAAGATTCATACTATTTTTTTCTACTAATTAATCATAAAGTCAATCTTAATTTCTTAAAAAATGTTTAATTTTTTGAAACATGTTAAGCATGTTGTTTAGAACTTGTATACGGTTCTAAAGACCTCTGCATTTTACACCACATGCCTCTGAAATGAATGATTTTTTGTACCATACAATTCTCGAGTTTTGTTCTTGATGGACATCCTCCTGATTCTCTATAGTGATTATGCATGTTATCTGTCTCCGCCCCTTCTTTCTCTGTATTCTGTGATCTCCCTTTGCTGGCAAGCGAAATCTGCTCCTCTCTGCATCCTTAAACTAGTTAATATGGACTGTTTCTTTATTACAAAATAGTTTTGCTAAATAAACCAATTAAATTACAAGATATTTTCTTTTTTTTTGTTACTTTTGTTTCCTATGCTTTAGATATTATGTGCCCATCACTGAGTAGTTTTTAGCAAAGGTTGGTTTCTCTCAACTCAAGTCAAACCTCAAAGTCAAGAGATGAAAAATGTTGGTACTCACAGAAAGGATTAGACCTGTAAAATATGAAAGCCCAAGCACCAACCATTCAAAAGTTATGGCAAAGATTTAACTTTAAAATATGGGTCAAATTCCAAGGTCAAGATGAAAGGGTCAAATTTTAATGGTATCCAGGGGAAGGCATCAAGAAATACAGGTCAAATATTGAAAGCCCCTATTATCAACTATGTATAAGTTTTGGCCAAGTTTACATTCAAAAGTAGGTCAATTTATTTCTAGTCAAGGTCAAAATTGTTGGTATCTGAGAGAAGGTCTTGTCACAAGGAATACATATGTGAAATATTTATGCCTTAATTAGCACTAAGCTGATATGGCCAAGGTTGATTTTTAAGGGGGTCAAATTCATAGGTCAAAGGGTAAAAAATGTTAATTAATAATATCAATGGAAAGGTCTTGTCACCAATACTACACTTGTGATGTATGAAAGCCCCATCACAAACTGTTCAAATGTTATGGCCAAGATTAAAGTTTGAAATTAATGCAACATTGTTCACATCAAAGCTGCTAAATTATAAAGCCACTGTAAAAAGTAAACATACAGTATCTGAGATTTTATCACAAAATAATATGCAATCCCTTTGAACTGAACTCAAAATAAACCTCAACCTGTAGAGACAAGAGGACCATGGGCCACATTGCTCACCTGAGGAAGAGATGACACTGACATACTGGGTATATGCTTCATATTTTGATATTTAAAAAGAGAAAGATATTAATGGCAGACTAACAACACAACTTTATGATAAATGACTTCAACTTTGCGTACATCTTCTTCCCTTATATATGTAGCCAATCTAATTAAAATCAGACTTCTTTGATCAGCACCGTATTCACTCTGCATAAGAGTGAATGCGGCACAGATCTAAGAAGTCTGATTTTAATAAGATTGATACGTAGCAATATATCAATATCAAATGTACATGATTATGAAGCTAATGTCCTACAGTTAATTAGCTCACCTGAGCCGAAGGCTCAAGTGAGCTTTTCTGATCAAAATTTGTCCGTTGTCTGTCGTTGTCGTTGTTGTCGTCGTAAACTTTTCACATTTTCATCTTCTTCTCAAGAACCACTGGGCCAATTTCAACCAAACTTGGTACAAAGTATCCTTGGGTGAAGGGGATTCAAGTTTGTTCAAATGAAGGGCCACGCCCTTTTCCAAGGGGAGATAATCATGAATTTGTTAAAAATTAATTGCATTTTAAAAAAATCTTCTTCTCCAGAACCGCTGGGCCAGGAAAGATGAAACTCATGTGGAAGCATCCTCAGGTAGTGTAGATTCAAGTTTGTTCAAATCATGACCCCCGGGGCAAGAAGTGGGGCCAAAATGGCCGACGCAAGTTTTTTTCATAGGAATATATAGGAAAATCTTTTAAAATCATCTTCTCCAGAACCACTGAGCCAGGAAAAATGAAACTCATGTGGAATCATCCTCAGGTAGTGTAGATTCAAGTTTGTTCAAATCATGACCCCCGGGGCAAGGGTGGGGCCAAAATGGCCGACCCAATTTTTTCATAGGAATATATAGGAAAAATCTTTAAAAATCATCTTCTCCAGAACCACTGAGCCAGGAAAGATGAAACTCATGTGGAATCATCCTCAGGTAGTGTAGATTCAAGTTTGTTCAAATCATGACCCCCGGGGCAAGGGTGGGGCCAAAATGGCCGACCCAATTTTTTCATAGGAATATATAGGAAAAATCTTTAAAAATCATCTTCTCCAGAACCACTGAGCCAGGAAAGATGAAACTCGTGTGGAATCATCCTCAGGTAGTGTAGATTCAAGTTTGTTCAAATCATGACCCCCGGGGCAAGGATGGGGCCAAAATGGCTGACCCAAGTTTTACATAGGAATCTATAGGAAAAATCTTTCAAAATCTTCTTCTCCAGAACCACTGGGCCAGGAAAGATGAAACTCATGTGGAATCATCCTTAGGTAGTGTAGATTCAAGTTTGTTCAAATCAAGACCCCCGGGGCAAGGATGGGGCCAAAATGGCTGACCCAAGTTTTACATAGGAATATATAGGAAAAATCTTTAAAAATCTTCTTCTCCAAACCACTGGGCCAGGAAAGATGAAACTCATGTGGAATCATCCTCAGGTATTGTAGATTCAAGTTTTTCAAATCATGACCCCCGGCCCTGGGGATAGGGTGGGGCCAAAATGGCCGACCCAAGTTTTACATAGGGATATATAGGGAAACCTTTTAAAATCTTCCTTTCAAGTACTTCAAAGATTTGATTAGTGATACCCGGGGTATTTATATGGAATCATCCTGAGGTAGTGTAGATTCTAGTTTGTTCAAATGATGAACGCCTGGAAGGGGGGAGTAAATTCAAGCCCGATGTGCTCAGGTGAGCGCTGTGGCCCCTGGGCCTCTTGTTTGATTTGCTCTTCATTTGAACAATTTGTACAATGAGGCAAGCTTCTGAAATTTAAGTTAATGATACAAGAATATACAGTCTCATTTTATTTAAGTCAAATTTAACAAATGTTATTCAATTCAATGACCTTTTCTCCCCTGCTTTCCTGAAAGCATTCATCTGTCACAAAAACTGTAACCCTGGACACATTTCAAATACCTGTGACAAGGCCTTTCTGAAAATACTAACGGTATGTTAAACCCATGTCCTTGACAAAAAAATCTATATCTTTGAGCATCTTCCTCAAACTTTATATTTTTGTTATCCTAAAATACAACTTCTAACTTTTAATTTTGCCTTTAATAATGTGTCTTTCAAGCTTTTTACAGACATAACATTTAATTTTGATGGTAAAATTTCTACTGACATAACCATTAAATCCATTAACCAAAACACACACAAACAACAAAAATATATTCATTTTTAATTTACAAATTGCACAATTCCTTTATGGGGAAGGTATTCCACCTCCAAATACAGGAAATTTTAAAATGGTAGAGTTGTTGCTTTTGAAAATGAATCATTTAAAAAAAAATCATAAACAATGTACTCTTGCAGATTTTACATCAATTATGCTTTTAAACCTCTTATGTAACACACACAGTCATAATTTTTTTCCATAAAAGTAAATGATTGCTACAAAGAATCACATTTAAATTACTAATTTTAGCTGTAAAGAAAACACTGGTAGTAATGTTACTTAGCCCACAGTCCTACGTGGGTGAGCACATTTGTAGTTATTCGGTTTATTACTTTCAATAGTTATTCCTTCAAACTACATTTGTTTGGAATGTGAACATATATAAATTCTAATTCACATTACACACATTGACAACACAATTATGTCTCTATCACGTGTTTATCTGTCAGATCATTCTAAGGAGGAGAGCATTAACAACTGTTTAAGAACCTTAGTCTGACTTGTCTCCCTTATTTCACCAGCTAGAAACATTTCATCCACAACACTATATACCTGCAAAACAAAATAATCATGATTTAAATTGTAGTTTCTGTAAGCTTTTAATTTGTAAACAATGCTTTATCCGAAATAGAACTGAAAGAAGTCTATTTCAAAAAATTGTCAGCTTTGGTTTTCAAATAAGCTTCATAAACAAAATCCACAAACATTAATGTTATATTTAAACCCCTAAGCATTTTTTTTTTGTGATAAGCAAAAACAAAATTAGTGCCCAAAGCACCAAAAAGATTTATCATTTGTTATCAAGTCATTTAATAAACTATTTATATAGCTGATTCTCTTGTCTATATTCCAGAGTACATGTACAGCTGTACATTGTATTGTGCTTTTGGATTGCATTCTCACCTTATAAAAATTGAAAACCAGATCCAGTTCACACACATTGTGGAAGTATTCATTGAGAACCTCTACAAAGTTATGGATGGCTTCCAGGTACATAAGATTATTGTCACTGACATCCACACAGATACAGAAATACAGCCCAGCATATCGGCGGTACACAATCTTAAAATTTCTGAACTGCAATTCAAATTGATTCAAGTTATAGAGATAAGAAAGTAAAAGGAAACAAACATGATTTGAATTTCCTTTGTTTGTTTGTTTTTTTATTTAATGTCAACATAGTTCTACTTTGACCAAATGGTAAAGTAGAAATTTTTTGATGAAAAATGTTTACCTCCACAAAGTTAGTATGCTTGGCATCTCTCACAGTTACAACTGCATGTACCTCTTCAATCAATTTCTGCTTTTCATCATCATCAAAATGCATGTACCATTTTGCTAATCTTGTTTTCCCCGCTCGATTTTGAATCAAAATAAATCGAATCTACAAATTAAAAGGAAAAATAAAGTGCACAGTCATGGCACATAAAACTTCCATCAAATGTCATTTAACCATCATAAAACAATGAGTGTGATTGTGTTGTGTCAATTTTTGCAGCTTTGATCATCTAACTTTTTAAAAAATAAGACTGCAACTTAATGACAATTACCTGCGATTTTAGTGATACATGACATGACATAAGGATCAAAGTTTGATTTCATCCAATCCATATAAACTTGGATTGTGGCCCCGTCCTACCCCTGGCAGTCATTATTTTAACAATTTAGAATCTACACTACCTCAGGATGCTTCCACATAAGTTTCAGCTTTTCTGGCCCAGTGGTTCTTGAGAAGAAGATTTTTTAATGACTCCAACCTATTTTTGGATTATCTTGATTATCTCCCGGACTCCCTTTGTAATTTAAATTTCCCTTCACATATGGATGCTTTGCACCAAGTTTGGTAAAAAAAATTGGCCCAGTGGTTCTTGAGAAGCAGTTGAAAATGTGTACAGATGTACAGACAGACTACAGACAACGGGTGATCAGAAAAGCTCACTTGAGCTATAAAAAAAAGAAAAGGAGAGGGCTATATTATTGCATCTATGACCTTCGACGTTAGAACTACTGAGGCTGATCAACAATTCAACTCTGAGCTGTGTATAAGATTGCATTCACCTCAAAGGTCACACTGTAAAACATTTTTATTCAACTTAATATATGTCATGCTGCCATCATGCAACAGCACAGTATACATACAGATGTTCCAAATGTGTCATGTGGTTTAAAGAGGCAAATTTTAGATTCTTATTTGTAATAAGTAATGCAACTGAGTAACTGCCAACTGAGGTCACCTCAATGGTTTCAACTTCCACATAATATGTTGACGGTGCGACCGTTAGAGCGAGTGCAAACTCTTCTATTGTTACCATTTAATTTAGATTGGGCTCGTCAAACCGCACATGACATTTGGTGCATCTAGACTCTGACGTCACATGACGTCGTATGTATAAAGTTACAAATACCAAGAAAAAACTGAACAGTGCTGAAAGTTAATGAAAAAAGTTACGTTTACAATTTATCTTCAATATGTATCCATGCATTTAATCAAGGTGAGTAAACTTTTTGTTGAACATTTGCCGTCATTCTCGCGAGAACGCAACTTTGCTTTGTGATGCACTGTTGGTCAAAATTACTGCGGCACAAAAATCTAAAGAATGAATGTGCAGTAGTCCGAATTTTCTCTTTGCCCAGGCGTTGCCGTTAGAGCTCGCAGTTATGAGCGTCGCTTTGCGACGCTCGCTAATATGTTGATGGTGCGACCGTTAGAGCAAGCGCAAACTCTTCTATTGTTTTGATTTAGATCGGGCTCGTCAAACCACACGTGACATTTGGTGCATCTAGACTCTGACGTCACATGACGTCGTATGTAGTAGAAACAAACATCACACATTAAAGAAAACACATTCAAGAGGATATAAATATGGTAATCAATAATATTTTTTTTTCTCTTCGCACAGGCGTTGCTTTAAGAGCTCGCAGTGACGAGCGTCGCTTCGCGACGCTCGCTGCGCTCGCTTTTAAAGTATACAGCTTCAAATTTGATAGCCAAATCAAAACTTTTGACAAAAATAAATGTGCCGGGCCTGTCTATCTACATAAACATAAGGATTAAAGATTATATACGCTTAAAATGGACTTCATTGACAGATAAAATAGCGTCTGAATACATTTATAGCACCACCTAGACGGTAGCTAATTCGGTATGGGCCAAATGACTGTTTTCTATTCAATATTTACCATCTTTTAGATGAAATCCTAAAAGACAACCGGAAAACGCCTACTCTCTAAAGCGCATGCGTGCAAATATAGATAAGTCCGGCGCGTCGATTTACCCAAATGGACCCAAATGGAAACAAATGGACCCAAATGGAAACACAATGGACCCAAATGGAAATCAAATGGAGTATTAAATATGAATTATCGTATTTTTATACTTATTTAAAATGATGAAAATAAACGAAGTTAGAGTTACAAATGGATTTTTTTTTATTATTAAGGTCTTCCGTTTCCAAGATTACAAGGTTAGCTTTTTTAAAAAAAAAGCAGGAGCTTCAGTCTTGGAATACAGAAAGTTTCTTTCTTGTTTTGCAATGGTTTATGATTTGATCTATCCATCATGTTGTGTTCCTTAAATGTAATAAATGCCATGGTATAGAAAAGTTAAATTCTTGTAATCGTTTCTTATTTGTAACATAATGCTGTACATAAAATTTTTTTAAATAACAAAAAACTTCAATGGGAATTGAAATGATGTTTTCACGTATATAAATATGTGATTTTTGACACACTTCTCAGTTAAAAGGTTTTTTGATCTCTCCAAAAAACAATTCAATTCCCATTGAAGTTTATAAACTTGTTATTTATTACTTATATATACATTTGAAGACAGACAATTGAATATTTTCATTTAAATTACTGCATAAAATCCCGTATTTTTGAAATTTACGCAAGGTGTAAATCGGCTTGCATTTCGGTTAAGCTTCTAATTCTTTACTGCTAAGGAATCTATCAAAGGCAATATTTTGTGAAAGGCTGCTTGTGATCAGTAATAGTGAACAGATTGTTGTTTGGAATATTTAATTCGTGAAAAATGATAATCGTTTTGCTGAAAAGACACAATAAACACGCGCGCGAAGTTTGATGATAAAAAGTAAAAGGAATTTCGATTTTGGAAAGGGATGGATGGATCATTGATTTGAAGCCAGTTTTTTTAATTTGCAATTTGATCAAAAACATTCCACGGTTTCAGCAACTAAAGGCATATTTTTTGTAAAACATGATAAACAGTTAGACACTGGCGACAGCTTACAGTTGAACTACGAAAACGCCGAATGTTTGCAGCTCATCATGGCATGATTGCAAAGATATTTTCCAACAGATTTACACATTTACCGTGAGTAAAATTTAAAGATAAAATAAAAGTTTATCATGAAAATTTAACCAAAGGTCTATCCAAAAAATAAGGATGATTGTTAGAGATTTGTGCAACTGACAAATTTAAAAAAAAATGTAAACAAACGCTTGGCTTTTAGTGATTTCTGACATATGTACACAGGTTGAATCATAGCCCAAAAACTGTATGAAATACTTGTTTACATTTAAAATAAAATAATATTATCATTTTACTTGTTTATTTTATTCATTTTTATACATGAAAAGCAAGCAAGCATCATTTTTAATTCATGTACCGGTAGATATTATTGCGCCGTGTGATTAGGTCACGTATTAAACCTTCACATATGGATGCTTTGCACAAGTTTTCATACAGAATTGAAGAAATTTTCTCTCTGTATGTTTATATAATGGAAAGATACCACAAATGTACATAATAAATGATAAAGCATAGCATAATTTTTTTTTATTCTGCATTGTGATCATTACAATGATCTGATCAACAATTCAACTTGAGCTGCAGACATAAGAAAGTTCATCTTATACCGGTAAATGAATAAAAGCCACCATGGCAACTAAGATCATGTTAAACTCTATAAAAATGATATTTATTATGATGAATACAAGGAATTTTAGACTTTGTGTTAGATTGCTTTTAAATATTATTAAATAACAGTTTTCATGGTTGTCAATTTCGACAATGCATATGTGGACGGTGCGACCGGGAGGGAGTGCAAACTCTGCATTGTTATATTTAATTCCATTTCTAACTTTAAGCATCCATTTTGGTGTAAATTATTACGGAAAGAAAAGTTGCTTCCAAAAAAGTAATGTACAGTGCTGAAAGGAAAACAATTTAAAATGGAAATTCAATATGTATCCATTTAACAAGGCAGTAAACTTTTTGTATGAACATTTGTACACAAAATGTCTGATGCATGTCTACCATCATAGCAAAACTAAGATTAAAAAATGTGCAGTATCCATTTTCTCTTCTCTCCGTTGTCATTGGAGGTCGCAGTTACAAAGCGACGGGCTGTATGTTGACCCTGTCTATAAATCAGCACATTTCTCCCATTGTTTTGATTTCCACTGTGGTCAATTTCTCTCATTTGGGTGCGGTTCACATGTGTTGCATAGCAGCACCTAACAGTGCTATCATCATGTAAATTATATAGAATATATATATCCATTAAATCAGGGTAAACTTTTTGTTTTCAACATTTCCATCATTGGAGTGCTAAAAAAGAAATTGATGCTTTCTTTCATCAAAAAATTCTATTGAATGAATGTTTTTTTTCTTTCGCAGAGGCGTTGCTTTACTATTTTGGGACCTTTGTGGCAAGTGGATTGTTGTGTGAAGTTACAGCTTCAAATTTGATGTCAAATCAAAACTTTTGACAAAAATAAATGTCGAGGGTGTCTTGCATAAACATAAGGCATCCAAAGATTATATACAAAATGGCTGCTTTGAGGGAATAAATGTACTGAATACATTTATCTATTAGAAGCAATGAAATATTTTCATAGTATCATTTAAAAACTGACAAATATCCCATCTAAAGCTGAACAGTCGTGTCAAATATAGATAAGTCCGAGAACGACGAAGAACAATGCAGTCTATAAATAGATGGAGGTCGTGAGTGTGCCAAATGGAAACACATGGACCCAAATGGAAATCAAATGGAATATTAAATATGAATTATCGTATTTTTATACTTATTTAACATGATGAAAATTAATGAAGCGCACTTGCAAATGGATATTTCAAGGTCTTCCGTTTCCAACTAGTCACAGCCCTGTTGGTAAAGATTATTATAAGGGTCTTTCGTCTTCAGGGGAAGACCCTTCTATTATTGTAATGTTTCTTTTTCGTATTATTATTTTTTTCCTACACTGATATCTCAGTAACGGTTCGGTGGATCTTTATGAAACTTTCGGAGATAAAAGGGAACAGTTATGGCTCAATCCAATACTTTCATTTTTTCTAATTTTACTTCCGGTCGTGAAATATGACGTAATTGCTACAATTTTTGTCCGGCCTACTCAGAGAATACTACGCAAAATAGAGATTTGAAGTTTTTGTGAATGATTAAATGTGAACTTTATATTTGTAGCTAACTTTTGAAATTTTATTAGTGTTTAAATTTTTCAAAAAATTATTTTTCATCCAATTTTAATTTTTTATGCCATCAAATAGATCTTGGCGAGCACTTTCCAAAAATGTATTTGTTTTGTATGTGAGTACAATAATAAACAATATATATAAACTCAGGTGTGTTAGGACACTTGAGTGCAAATGTCCTCTTAGAACTTTTCTTTTTAAAAATCATTTCTCTTTTATTTATTGACCGATTTCAAATTTTACACCATCAAATAGATATTTTCAAGACCTTTCCAACGGTATATTTCTTTTTATTGTACGTGCACTTATAAAGAAAATATAAGCTCAGGTAAGTTAGCCTTTCGTTTTGACAGGACATGTCAAATTCATTATCAAGGACGCTTGCGGTTAATACGGTACTCTTTAGATCTCTTTGATCTTCGGTGGATATCCTTTGATATCTGTAAAACGTCCTATCTTTTTCATTTCTTGACCGATTTTAAAACTTTTTAAATCATCTAATAGATCTTTTTGAGGGCTTTCCAATGGTATTTTTTTTTTTTGGATTGTACATGCACCATAATAGAAACTATGAACTCAGGTATATTAGCATTTTGTTTTGACAGAACACGTCAAACTCATTTTCAAGGACGCTTGCGGTTAGTAGGTTAGTAGGACGACTGTTCTCTTCGATCTTTGGCCTGTATCCTTTGATTTAAAAAAAAATATTACACAGTGTAATTGGAAATTCTTGAAGGTCAAGTAGAGTAAATTTTAAACGATTTCAATTTTTCAATAAAAATTTTAATTGCTTCAAAACACATTTTATGATGATCTCTCTCTGTTAAAATAAAAATGTGGTACTCGATTTTACATTTGGAAAATTTTTTTTTTATTTATTTAAATTGTTGAAATCATACTCTATTCGATTTTTGAGAGATTTTAAAACACGTTGTTTGATGTTATCCATCTGTCAAAATACATACATGGATCTTGATTTTACAATTGGGAGCAATTTAATTTTTTTGAAAAAATTAAATTGATTAATTCTTCGTCTTTTTGACCTTTGAGAGATTTCAAAACATATTGTATGATGTTATTCATCTGTCAAAATACAGATATGATACTCGATTTTACATTTGGAAAAAAATTATTTTTTTCTTCAAAAAATTTAAATTGCGTCCAAATGTTAAAATATGATGGATTTTCATGAAATTTATGGAAACAATGTGTTGTTATCTGAAGTTATCTTATCCGAGAGATTTTTTGGAAATTTCCTTCTGGTGCCAAGTTACGGGACATTTCCTGATTTTAAAATGACATTTAGTCCACGGTTAATCTCAAGAACTGTAATAGATATCAAAATGAAACTTTCAGGGATGATAGATCGTGGTAATTACTATCCAGGACGCGACATCTCGTTCGTCGTCATTACTTCCTGTTGTTACCAGATGCAAATTTAAAAAGTCGTATTTTCTAACTTTTTTGTTTTTCAATATGTTTGAATTTTTTTCGCATGGTTAATAGAAACCCTTGTAATGATGCTTGATATATAATTTGTTTGAAAATCAATAAATCCAAACTCTAGATATTAACATTTAAAAATCTGAAGTGGGTCCAAAATGGCGGCTGCCTCCGTAGACTCCGCCATTTCGCAATAAGGGTTTATATTTGCTTGAATGAAATTAATGTATGGATAAATGAAATGTAAAGGAATACTTGGATTGACACGTCGTAGTTACGTTGAAATTCCGTGTCAAACTCAATTTTAATCCAGTGTGTTCTCAAACGT